TAATGCGCCGCAGGCATATAAACGGTTTATAATACATTAAAACTACAACAGGGGCTGGGAGAGCCAGTTCACTAGTTCGAACAACAGCTGTAAGACTGTTCGGTTGTCGCGGAGAGGCAGCAGTCCTTCGAAAGCAGGTATGGAGACCTGAGCGACGATTAGGTCGCGAGCGTCGGCAGATGACAGCGGTGTACTCACGATGAGGTAGTCTTCAAAGTCGCGCGCGGCCACGCGGTTTTGGCAAGATACGTTCTTCCTGAACCGCCGTATCGTGTCCCGTCCGAATGTTGGCATAAGACGCATCCTAAAGGTCATTGTTAGATATGAACGGTACATGTACAAATGGCAGACGTACCTGCGGTCAAACTCTTGCACGGCAGCGGGACCTTGGGCGTGCAGCAGTCGAATGAGATGTGCGAAGGTCCCTTTCCATACCCCGAGCTCGAACTCGTGCATCAAGTCCGGTGCAAGCAGGTCGTACACGTTGAAGTCTGGATCTACCTCACCGAGGCGGATTGAAAAGGCGCTCTGTGCACCATGTAAGGCGGCGAATAAATGGGAGTTTCGGAGCTAGTTAGCGCACCTGTATCGGGATCAAAGAACGTGCATCCAGTATGTCCCGGATGCGCTTGCTCGTCATGGTCAATCCCCTGGTGAACAACCACTTTCGCGTGCGTTTGATCTTCGTCCGCCACGCTACAGTGTCCGTCCGCTTGGGGATATCGTCCGCCGTCGATCGCGAGTCAGCGATATCCTTGAGCTTGACTAAGCAGCGAGAACACGGGCAGCGCCCGAGGTTCTTGATTGCGGTGAGGAGTGCTCTGGATATATGTCAGCTTGCATGCGCATACAATGAGGACATCGCGTACTTTTCCGGATAGTCCGCTGAGTACGTGAAGAATCGCGGGAAGAGCCGCCGCACGACTCCATCCGCGCACTCTGTCAAGACACCATGCTTAGTGCATGGCAGGGGTCCACCCGGGGCTCCTGCGATCATGACCCCCGATTGGACCCTCCGAAACCCCTACCCTCCATCAAGGGTTCAGGGTTTTGGAGGGTATAAAGGGGGTATAGAGGGGTCGAGGGGTTTTAGATACCCCCAGCGTTTCTGGACAGACAGGAAGTGTCACAGACATGTAATCATATATCAGAGCATACAGGAGGTACTACAACTAGTCTTCATCATCGGTATCAGCACCCGTCACCCTTATAGCATCCCAGCCATCCTCCAAAGCCACATCAGCGTCACCGTCGAGCTCAGGCGCCTTGACCTCAATCTCGATGTCGCTGTCCTTCATGAGATTGAGCAGGCTCCACTCACCAAGGCAGAGGATCGCGCGGATTGAGTGGGCAGAGAGGCCGTTGCGGAGATGGGGAAGAATGATCCGGCCGCGGCTGAACACGCGCTCGATGTCGACAGAAGTACCTGTAACGGGTTGATCAGTACAGCACAGAAGAGCTATGCAATATCGTACTCACCAGGAATGGACAGGTAGTCCAATGCCATGCGGGACAGGTTTGGGAAGTCCTTGCGGCGCTTCCACCACCATGCGATAACGTCCTCGACATCCTCGGTCTCCGCAGCGATGTAGCGCTCGAATTCGGATGCCGGTGCTGCATCTGCCTTCTGTGACTTGCCGCTGCGGCGAGGCAAGCTGTCAAACATGTTGCTAGAGTCCTGTACATAGGGCAGCAGCAATCAGTAATGAATGCCGACGCCGATGCACTGTGTGCTAGCACAAAGATGACTCACCTTGGCCGAGGAAGACGCCGCATTGTTGGCGGCCTGGGGTTTGACCGGACGAACATGGCCAGCATACGTACGTTCATATTCGTCTCGAGTGATATCCTTGGCAGCATCAATCCACTCGTCACTCCACTTGTTGTCCCGGAAGTACTCGAGCTTATGCCCGGGATGGAGGACTACGAGGCAGTTTCTAAGTGTCAGGATCGTGCAGGCTCAGAAAGTGGTATAGTGATGTACTCATAGCAATCCTGTAGAGCTCACTCCTGTCCGTCCAATCGTAATACTTGTTCAAAGTCTTCTTCCCGAGTGCCGCAGCGACACGAACGGATGGCCGGTACTTGTGGTTGAGCACGTCCGTTGATAGCTGGCCGTCTATGCGATCCATGGCGGGGATTATGTCGACGAGGTTTGGATGCTCTTGACGTGAGAAGAACTGGGTTGCATCGTAAAAGATCTAAGCAGCAGGAAATGTGAGGAGTGAGCACTAAGCATTCAATGAGAGACGAGCAAGACGAGGCGGCGCGCGCTAGGCGCCTAATGTCACGCGTGCCATCACAGCACCGTTACTCGAACTCAAACGCACCTTGAGGACGTCGCTCAACTCGTCTGCGATTGCCCATTCCTCCTCGCTCATCTCTAGCTTCCTAAGCCCTAGCTTCCGCTCCCCAGTCATCTGATCGATCGCCTCACGGTAGTCAAGACAGAACCGCAGCATTCGATACGTCGAGTTCCAGCGCGTACGGACATCGCGTGGGATCGCCTTCCGAGGCAGCACAAGATCGTCCAGAAGAGCGTACCACGCAGGCAGCAGGATTGTGGACGAGTGGGTGACGGTCTGGGCGAGTTTACGAAGCTGAAAGCGAGACAAATCAACACAAAGGGTAAGTGAATTCAGTTTTCATCGGGTTACTGACCTTCAGGAGGACCTTCTTGACGGGATACACATCCTGGTCGAGATCGTTCTTCTCCAGATCGTCCAGGGCACCGTACTCGTCCACATACCCATCAAGATCATCGTCGTCCTCTCCTGCATCATCGTTGTCCTCAAGACCTGGCACGATGTCGTCAACTTCCAGCCCCTCTGCTAGCTCTTGCAGAACACGCTCGGCGTTGTCCATCACTACGCCAGCTTTCTTGGTTGTGACATCGAACGGCCGCAGGACCGACTTCGCACACAAGTTGACGACGTGGTCGAAGCACCGGCCCCGGTTCGCTTCGCCTGGGAAGTCGACGAGGAGCTCGCGAAGCACATCGAGCATCTTGTCGTTCGGCGACGCGTTGTCTGCGGTGATCGCCAAGATCTAATCCCCGGTAAGTGTCCGTATGCAGCGCTTTCTCCTCATTACTAACCTTTTTCTCAATGCCGAATGCCTTCAGCATCTCCGCGAAGGCCTTTCCGAGTGCCTCACCCGTGTGCGACTTGGCCACCTCGACAACATCGAGCAAGAAGCTCAATGGAGTACCTTTGTGAGTCAAGTGTACCCCGAAGGCGACCAACGCCTTATGGTTAGGTGAGGTCCATGCATCTACGGTGAAGCTGAGGCTTCCGTCGTAGTCCTAGCATATGGTGAGTGATACGCTCTCTATGCGAGCGCTGTTTGCTAACCTGTAGCATCTTGGCAATGCGACGGCGCACGCGCGCGAAGACACGCTTCACATCCCGAGATACAGTCGATGGAGACGGCAAAGCGTACTCCGGACGACCAGTCTTCATCAGCGTCACGAAGCCGCGATCGCGAACAATTGCGTATGGACGCTTGCTCTCACAGATCCAACGAACGATCCAGGCCCTAGGCTGTAGTGAGCATGACGCTCGGGTGACATGGTAAGTCACTTACCTGGACTCCTTGGATGTGTGCTGACGCGTAGAGAACGACAGCTTGCCTTTCCCCAAGCGCTTGAAGAACACCGTCAACGAGCCAGTGCGGAGGTAAGCCTGCACCACAGGGCGTGCCTCAGCCGCTGTCTTGTATTTGCCGGCCTCGTCGAGGACACCCTCCCCCCAGTGCTTACACGATTTGACGTGCCTACGCAGGTTGCTCGTTGACGTCTTGTCCTGCGTCTCCAGGGCGCGACGGACGGGTGATCCGCACTTCGGTGCAGCGCAGCGAAACTCGTACGCGGCAGCACCCTTTGAACGATCAATCCGAACCTCTGGCCTGAAGAAGGCATAGATAGGCGCATTCCATGCCTCCTGCATGCGTTCTGGGACACCGTTTGTAAGTCCCAAATCACCGGCATCTGATGACACTCACTGATGAGCAGCTCGTCCTCCTCTTTCTGGCTCCGCGGCTCGACTATCTGGACCTCATCATCTTCCTCTTCTGCTAGCTCTTCCACAGACGGGGTTCTGCTTGGATGGGCTGATCCAGCGGCATCACCTGCAGTCCCGGCGTCACCACTGCCATCTTCGGAGCCGCCTTCGTCTGCGGAACCGGCTTCTGCCGCCTTCGCCTTCTTTTTTCGGCCATTCCTGCTACCTATAGAGAGCTGGGAGGCTTGTCGTTTGATTCCTTGGGCGAATTTTTGGAGTCCGTTGGCCATGGAGAGTTACTGGTGTTGCTCAGAGGGTGTCCGTTGATTTTGCGCTGTCTGTTGATTTCTGCGGGCGCTCGTGTATGTTTTGCAGGCGCTTATGTAACAAAACATACTTGATTAGACAGGAACTATACAGCACATGGCAACGGCAGCTCCGGTGCTTCTCTCGAGTGTTTGGGAGCCTCATGGCCCTTCATAACTTATGCAAAACACTAAGTCAAAATTTTACGAAAATATACAGAGGGTAGGGGGGTTCCGGGGGGTAAGACCTTAGTGACCCCTACCCTTACCCCTTTGGTACCCTTGGGGAAACCCCCAGGGGTGACCCCGACCCCTGCAATGCACTAGCCATGCTGGTAGGCCTTGAGGAAATCGTCGTCGAGGAGCTTGACCCAGATGCGCTGCATCAGCTCGCTCTTGAGCCATCGCAGGGTCTCCGCCGTCGGAGATGTCTTGTATACCTCCCGATAGTAGTCGAGCAGTTCGTCGGGGAGCTAGCAGATTGTTAGCGTGCAGTCAGTGGTCATAAAGTGTCGCGGAGCTAGACTCGACGCGACCAGGCAACGCCTACAACAAAGAAACTAATACGATCTAACCCAAGGGCGGCGAGCGCGAAGGCTTGCTAACGCCGAGCGTAGACTTTCAAGTCAAATCTAGCCCAAGGACCAAGTTAATATTATGCTGACTAAGAGAATACAAAGGACGGCTTACCTAGCCCAAGGACCAAGAGGTCAAGATGAGGGCTAGGGTCGCTACAGGTGGGGTTTATATACTGAGTCAGGGGAGCCAAACATGTACAAACGTAAAGGTGGTCTGTGCGCACATTAGTGCCAGTCTGCAGGTGGGG